CGAAAAGGGAAGTCTCAGACCTGAGACAGTAAAATATGGTCGCGAGTCCCAAGGGACTCGGACCCGATAAGGACTGCGTTGGCAAGGACCAGCAGCATACTCGTATACAAAAGACAGACCCGTCCTCTCGTCAGAGAGGGCGCACCATAGAAACAAGACCGTAACTGTCAAACGGTAATAATTAATATCTGGTCATGAGCCCAACATGGGGCTCGACACCAAGACAGACAGACTGGCCGACCGTCAGTCGCATTATGACTTTGACTTTGGCTGAAATAATAACTGAAGTTTAGTAGAGTTGCAAAAGTGTGGCTGTGTGTGCTGCAGTTACAGTGAGACACGCAACAATATTAACTGAACGGGTCTTGGTGAACGTCCCAAGGCTCCTAAGACATTACTGAGCGGTCAGACGTCTAAGGTGCAATACTCTATTAAGGAGTCTTAATAACAATTAGAATTAATTATTTCGATCAGATTATCATGCGATTATTGGGTCGCTAATCCGGACTGCTGCCACACCAGGAGTAGAAAGATATTACTGTACTAGAATACTGAACCTATCACACCGGATGTGCTAATGATGTCAGCTTCTGCTGGTCCCCGCTGTCACTTCCTTGGTGCCACCTTCCTTCCTCCAGGTTTGCGTGTCTCTAGGATTTCAGGCTTTGCCTTACTGCGTCATGAATAATCATGAGTTTGACAAAGTTAACTGAGAATGAGCGTGAGAGAGAAAGGAAGACAGAAAAGTGTTGAGGGGGAGGGGGCACAAAGAAGTTGAAAACCTGGTACCTGATTGGCAAGAAGAGCTGGAACACCATAAGCAGGATTCTCAACTAGATATCAGAGCAGAGACTTTGTATTCATACACTTGGCTGTCCACACATTTTCCTTACATTCCAGAGGGTCGGTGGGGGCTGAAAAGCCCCTTTAGTAGCTGAGCGACTGTTAGCTTCTCTTGTTGTGGAACAGGGTATATCCCAGAAGACACGGAAAAGTGTGTGTGGAGGCAACGGCTAGTAAGTGCTGCGGTACACCAGATTCAGGGAGGGCTATGCGCGCGGTTCTTCTTGAAGACGATAGGTACAGCCCACTGGTGATAGATTACCATGACCCCCCCCCCTTGCAAGAAGTCTTGGTCGTGCAAAGGGAAAACTTATGCACATGACGTCACGAGTTTGTTCCGTGGGCGATGGTTATTAATGGCCGGCCCCACGGGTGATGTAACATTGCACGGCCGTTATGGGATACGAAATAAGAGAGATGTAATGGCGAATATGATGGGGGCTGTAAAATTTGTCGCGTTTTACATTTTCCTGCTTCTTCATCCTCCTACTCCACCTATTCCTCTTCGTTCTCTTTTGTACCTTCTTAATCTTTACCTCTTCTTCTCTTCTCTCCTTCGTCTTCATACTATTCTGCTCTTCCTTCTTGTTCATCTTGTCCTTCCTCATGAACTTGTTTCTCACCTTCTGCTTTACTCTATTACCACGATTATTTCCGTTCTTTATCTTCCCTTTCTCTGCTCTCTCCTTATTCGGTCGTCTCATTCTTCCCTCCTTCAATGATATGTCCTCCTCACAACTGTGCCTAGGGCCTGAACGAGATAACGGAACCTAGGGTCACGGTTTGTGCGTTTATTTTATGGTCCTTCCAGTGTTCACATGATCGTGTCATACGGCAGGACAACGGATTAACTGCGAAGGATTCGGAAGGAAGTGGTGGTGGCCCAAGGAGAGATAGACGGAAGTCAGGACAGCCGCTGTCCCGGCAGAGGCTCGAACCGAACATATCCCGAAAACAAGTCTCGAACGTTACCGCTACACCCACCTGTTCGATAGGGTCATGGTACGGGTCCGTGTACCCACTTACCCTAAGCCTAATATGTTATAATGGGAATGAAGGATTTTCACGAAACACGGTAATCACATCACGCCGTTTGAGGCCTCACCAGTCATACTTTTGGATTCCGTATCATCACTGATTATCGCTACAGCAGGCGTACCAACTTCTTTGGTGAAAACGACAATGATTCGGGTATTCTGATGTTTTCATATCGGAGAGTCATGACTCTACCTTCGTACAATTTCCCGCTGATTCTGAGAAATACACACAGGGCCAGAGAGTAAATCAAGGAAGCAAACAAATCAAGCAGAATCATTTCTACCAGACTACACGGCATAACATGCCAAAACACAATATCCCCTTTCCGCGTTTGGAGTACAAGCTTCTGAGATTGTGCAACCTGGTACGAGTTTACCGACGTTTCCATCTTCAGGGCAGAAGTGTAAGCGAAGCCAGCCTTCAGCTATTATTTTC